TGAATGTAACTTTTACAAGACATTATAGAAAGAGCCTTTTATTGGAATAAAAGTGGAGAGATGCTGGGGTGACCTTCTTCTGCACTGTGTAAATTGTTCTTGTATTATTCAGATGCTGACTTCTGTGCCAGCAGAGAGTTGAGAACAGGCAGGACTCTGGTATTGTTATTCTTTGGCAGGGTATTTTGTAAACATTCCCTCCAGCACCTTCTAATTGGCTTAATGAAGAGCTGGTTGGCCAATAGCTAAGGCAGGAGTGGATAGGCAGGGCATCTGGCAGAGATAGGACCTCTGGGAAAGAATCAGAGGTGGGAAAGACCTCCGGCCTGACAAGGGCCAGGACTAAGATTGAGAGTTAACAAGCGTGTGATGTGACGCAGGCCACACCAGTGTTGTCAGGTTAGAAGAGCTGAGAACCTGTCCAGCTATAGTGCCACAGTCAGTTTCTGTGTCACTATCCAGGAGCTGGTGGTCCAAAGAAAGTCCTGTGTTAGCCTCCTCAGCCCTGGGCCTGTCCGTGCAGGAGAGTCCATCTTCTTGGTTGCCGGGGTGATAGTGGACATTTCTGGCTGGGGCCCAGATAGGCCTTGGCAGGTCCTGTGGAAAGGCACAGACAGAATCCCTTCCAGTTGTGAGGAGAAGGTCGTGTCCCTTCCATGTTCAGTCTAAGGGATCACAGCAGTGTACCAGGATGGGAGCAGTCATTTCTGGCGGGGAGACAGTAACCAAGACATATTTCTCCTTCCTGTGCCAGTGGCGGGAAAGAGGAGGATGCTTGAAGCTTCTGTGAATATTACATATATTTAGAGTGGCTATGGCCATTGCTAATTGTATGTTAGGGGGATAGGTGATTGCTTCTTGTTTTTTAAATTGGTCTTTTAGAGTTTGAGGTGTTCTGATTCCTTGGCTATGGGGATTGTAAGGAATGCTGTGTGATGGGAAATCTCCCATTGTGAGCAGAAGGTTTTGAAGTGGGAGCTAGTAAAAGCAGGACCACGATAGTTGTTATCTGTTAAGGAATGCTGTGATGGCAAAAGTAGAGAACATATGGTGAATTAATCTTTTTGAGCTTTCTCTCATTTGGGCTATAGCCCATATGAAATGCAAGGCAAGTATGTGTCAACAGTAGCAAAGACATGTTTTTGGCAGCCAGATTGGGGAATGTGGCTGACATCAATTTGAGACCTCAGGGGTTAGTGCCCGTAGTTTAAAAAGCTGGGGTAGCAATAAGGGAGGCACAAGAGGAGCATGTTTTTATTATCTTCTGGTGCTCAGCAAGAGCAATCTAAGGGAGGCCCTTTTATATTTGTGTGTGTGCATGATTGGAATTGATCTGCTTGCTTGACCGAGGCTGTGAATGCTCCTGTGAGGTGGTCCAATCAGTGAGGGTATTTCCCTCAGATATCATCGGGGGATGTGAAACCTGACATGCACATGGATGAGCAGAAGGGAGAGTAGGTTGACATCCAGTTTGACAAAGGATCTTGATAACCAAGGAAGCAAATTAACAGCGTATATACTAGCGGAGAAAAGATTAAAGGGCCCATTGACTTCTTTGAGGGCCAAATACACACTTTCTCATATTGGGAAGAGTGAAGGAGCAAGTCTCTGAATTGAATAAGGGGGTTCATCCCCAGGGGAGTAGTATATTATTGTGGCTCCCCTTTTTCCTCCATCAGTAACTACTGAGGGGGCCCCAGTGATGGGCTCATTTGCAAAGAACAGGAGAGAGGGGTAGCCACCGCGATAAAGGTAGAGTAATGATTATCAATTTGTCTAATCCAATTAGGCCAATAGCAGGAGTGATATCTGAGGAGCCATTGAATATCAGAGAGAAGAGAAGGGGTGACAAGGACATTGGGCTCTTTTCCTAAGGTTCTCAGGGTTTTATCCCTGCCATTTCTAACCATAAGAGCAAGTGCATCAACCTGAGGTAGGATTTTAGGTGCACTGCTCACCAGAGTGTGGGTGTGTGAAGCCATTCCAGCACCCCTCGAGAGCAGTAGGGGAGGGGTTAAAAATAAGCTGTATGAGCATCGCTGGACCGTACCTAGTGAGTGCCTGTCTTTTAGGGCTGCATTAGTGGCACCTAAAGCTTCAACTGCCTCAGAAGAGAGCTCAAGGGGAGGAGATTTTTTTTTTTTTAAATCTCCTTTTAGGCGATCAAATAAAAGCTGTAGGGTACTGGTGGGGAGGGAAAGCCATGGTCAAAGCCACTTAGGGTTTCCCAAGAAGCTTTGGAGAAAGTTGAAACTTGAGGTTTAAGGAGAGAAAAGAATGGATTTAAGAGGGTGTATCGAGGTAGGGGAAATTTTGTTCTCAGGAGATGGGAAGAGTAAAGGGGAGGAGCTATTTTCAATCCTAGGAAGGATAGGGAAGGTATTAAGTGATCCCTAAGGTTGGGGGGTGGGGTGGAAAAGTCTCCCATACCAAGATATCATCATATAATCAATGTGGAGACCTTTGTCTGAGTAGGGCCTTAATGCTGTGGCAACAGCCTCCTGGCAGAAGGTGGGACTGTTTGCCATCCTGTGTGGGAGGGCTGCTCACTCCTGAGGCCAGGCCCGAGCTGTTAATGGGGGTGGTACTGAGAATACAAAGCAGTGGCAATCCTCAGGTGGAGAGGCGTGTCAGCAGAAATGGAGATTAGCGGTAGCCTCCTTTGGGGAGGCCCCCAAACCTGCATGGCTGTGTTAATCGCCCTTAGATCTGGTAGCAGTCTCCATCCCCCTGAGCTCTTCTATGTCATGGAAACAGGGTGGTCCATGGACTGCAGGATGGGTGAATATGGTGAAGCTGGTGTTGTTATAACTCATCAGCACTTCAAGTTCCTCCCTCCATCAAGACCATTGTTTAGCCAGACAGGCTCACTGGAGAGCCAGTTGAGGCAGGGAGTGTATATTTAACAGCGGCCCTTAGAAATGGAGGTAACGGGGGAGAGGTTTAAAAGTTTTTGTGGGTGTAATTATTACTACGGCCATGATAATTCACTCTACTGTTTTTTTTTTTTTTTTTTTTTTTTTGGTTGACTAGTAAGTTCCAGAGCCTCCAGGAGGTCTCTTCCTAGAAGACTGGTGGCAGTGTTGGCCACAAGAGGGCCTATCATGCCCGTAGACCCATCAGGTCTCTCCCACTTGTCCACTTTTTTGGTGGTAAAGGCGGGAGAGCAACTTCCTACACTGAGAACTTGAAGCCCAGGAACTAGCTCTCAGTCTTGTGGGATCTCTTGTTTTAAATTTGTTTTTATCTGCTCCAGTATCAATGAGGCATTTGAATGGCGTGTCACCTATTTTCATGGCTACCTTTGGGGGGGGGGG